ACCAAGGACAAATAATGTGTAGTCACCATGAATTTGTAATATGTGACATGTTTTATATCCAGCCCTACTGGGAGATGATTGGATCCGTGAAGTGAAAAATAAATGTAAAATGTAAGATATAGCCAAAAACCAAGTATTACTGTCATCTCTGATGAAAAGCCAAACTTAATATTACTGACTGGAGAGAGAGATTATTAAACAATTATTAATTCTTTCAGATCACTACAGAACAATAAAGACTACAATACACTTTTTGTCAACATGATAACTAACCTCTGGATTCCATAAAGATGGGGTATTTTTTGAACAGCTGGGTCTAAATTTACATTTACATAGTGTCTCAATGACCCTAATCCATGAAGCTGCATCACTGGAACCGGAAAGGATTTGCAAGGATGTGGTCTTGGCCTAACAGGGGTACTATCCTCAGGTTAGTTTGCGGGGAATGAGATAAACAATGAAAATCTCCAGTCAGAATAGCCAGTGTCTCAACAGGGACTCAAACTAAGCACCTCCCAAACATAAGCAACAAGAGTTACTGCTATACCAACATGCTTGTTGGTTAGTTAGTTACTTCATTAGTTAAGTAATACTATTCTGAATCATTGTTTGCATAATAAAATGACCGCTCCAATGATGCTGTTGACTATTTCTATTTCACACATATATCATTTTTCTACTTTCATGTGGTGTTCTATAAATATCTGAAACCCTATTCAATGATACTGAGATAAAATTAACCTTAATTATAAATATATTATAACAAAGGGCAGATTCTAAGGCATGGTACCACAGCTAAGCAGTGTCTCCATGTCAAATAATGAGAGACATTTAATTTGGCGTTGAAGAGTCTGTAAAAGAACAGAACAATCATGTGATACCCTTGAAATAGCAGACTTTCAGTGCACATATGCACTGACCCCTCTAGTCTTCACTGTCAAACAAATATACAAATAGATATGTTTTAATGAGTCACAGTTCAATAGGCCAAAGGAGACACAACCTAAATCCACAAAGTGCTGCACTACATATATGAGTGGTGAATTTTGTAGTCTTACAACTCAGAAGTCAGTTAAATTTATACAACTATGAGGGGCAGTCAAAGAGTTCCCGGAATGGTGGTATAGCACTCTATTGGTAGGACATATAGCAACGCTCACCTAATCACCTTCAAAGTAGGACCCTTGTGCACACACACTTGCTCCATTGATCCTGCCACTGTTGGAAGCAGCGGTAGAAGGCTTCTTTTGGGATCTTCCGGAGCTCAGCTGTCACATTTGATTTGATGTCCTCCATGGTTGCGAAATGTGTCCCCTCGAGGCCCATTTTCAGAGTAGGGAACAGCCAAAAGTCACTCGGCGTGAGATCCGGAGAGTACAGTGGTTGAGTGATGACAGGAATGTTTTTCTTGGCGAAGAATTGTTGCACAACAAGCGATGTGTGGCTCGGTGCGTTATCATGATGCAGAAACCACTGTCCCTGCCACTTGTCGTGCTGCTTCCTCCGAACCACATTGCGCAACCTCTGCAAAACTTGCATGTAGAAATGGCCAGTAAGAGTACCAAATTTTTGCTCCAACTCCATGATAGTCATTCTTTGATCACATCGAATCAGTTGTCGCAACTTTTCCAATCATTTCTTGGGTTCTGGATGTCGAAGGTCTCCCGCTGCGCTGGTCATCCTCTAACGTCTCCTGCCCATTCTTAAACTGGGAAAACCAGTCGTAAACTGCGGATTTCTTTAGTGCAGTATCACTGTAAACTTGCTGCAGGCCCGACAGCATCTCTGAAGCAGATTTCCCTAATTTGCATATGAACTTGATGTTCGCACGCTGTTTGAACTCTGACATTGTGCCGAATGACCAACACTCACGTCTAATTCAAATGGAACAGTAGCGACACTGCACACTGAAACTTGTCCAGACCTGCTGTGCCTGCTAGCAGACATGCTGAGCTTCCCACGACAACAGTGTGTGCTATCTTATCACTCACTCTCCGTCTGCAGGGGAATTCCAGTAACTTTTTGACTGACCTACATATATATGACTTGTATCAGCTTAATACATGAACTGATTTTTCACTATTAACTTAGAGAAAAACCTTGCAGAATGCAAAATGTGTTCAATTAAACGTCCACACATTTTTAGTAAAAAACAGACATATTTTGATGGTCCAATATGTATTCCGAATTCCTACATATTCAAAAGATAGAATTCAGCCCTATTACAATGAAATAACTTCTCAGAGTCACATCTATAAGTGGCAGACTATATAGCTAACAATAATATAAGTTCCTTTACACCAAGTTAACTGCTTCCATGCATCTTATGAAACCAACTTCCTACGGAGATACTAACTATAATACACAGTTTTCACTTTCGTTATTCTATGTATATACATAGGTAAAGTGCTCTGCTAGAAAGAAAAGCACTGATGCCCAATTGGGACTGATGGTCTTTAGTTCTCTGAGACGTAAATACAAACAATTAAATACTTCAGTTAAAAAGTACAAGTGTATATGTACGTGTGTATGAAAAGGGAGGTTATCTAAGAGGTTCCCAAAAATCCTTTGGCTGGTTGGAGAAGAGGGATGCTGGGTAATCATGTTACCTTGCAATGAACGTGTTCAGACTTCTGCAGCTGACAGCCCAAGAGGAAACAATGATAACTAAATACACCCATTAATAATGTTGTATTTTAGCATCCTGTTGCACTGATTCGTACCCATAATGTGTATATATTAACCGTCTTTTAGTGCATACAGTTTCACTTGTCACTTCACACTACATGTTTCGGCATCATTCTGCCATCCTCAGGTGTATCAATCACGTTAAACCATTGCACCGCTTGCCATAATTTTATAAATGGACACTTGATGGCAGGCAGTGCAATGGTTTAACGTGATTGATACACCTGAGGATGGCAGAATGATGCCGAAACATGTAGTGTGAAGTGACAAGTGAAACTGTATGCACTAAAAGATGGTTAATATATACACATTATGGATAAATACACCCAGATTAAAGCATATGACAGAAATAGTCCTTGTTGTTATGTAGGCATTCCATGGACCTCCGTAAAATGTTCACATTCATGTGCTTAAGTTCCTTTCCAGAAACAGAGCAAACTTGAAATTATAAACCCAAAACTTTAAACCTGAGTCCATCTGTAAGCCATCTAAGGAATTTTCAATAAGAACATTCAAGCCCAGCACCAATTTTATCCAGTTTCTCTTCAGTGGGCACTTGAGATTTTGATTCACTTTCTTCTTTTTGTCAATAATAATCCTGCAACATCCTCATATTTATGTTGGAGTCTGTTACTTTTCACACACACATTCATGTATTGTACAACACTTCTTTCTTTGTGTAACTCTTACACAGAATTTTGATGCAAGAAGTAACAGGACTCACTGATAGTTTATTACAGTACTTGGGGCTTCTGATTATGGATGACAAGCACCTAACATATAGTTCTCTTCACAAAGCAGTTAGTCGCTGGCTTCCCACCGCGGCGGCCTGGGTTCGATCCCGGGTCTGGTCAAGTGGGATTTGTGGTGAACAAAGTGGTGCTGGGGCAGCTTTTCTCCGAGTACTTCGGTTTCCCCTGCCAATCTTCATTCCACCAATTGCTCCACAATCACCCTCACCTATCATCTAGGGCTGGTACAATAAGCCAGAAGTGGTTTCAGTACAAGGGACTTAGTCCCAACCCACTAGCAATAAAAAAAATAATAGTTCTCTTCACAGTAGCTGTTCAAGACAGCTGGACAGAAACTGTACAAGTAATGCACCTAGGCAGTCAGCTGTTGATTATGCAACAAGTGCAAATTAGTGCAGTGCAAGATTATGTGAGTAACCAGTATCACTTTCATCTGACTGCCTGAAGGAGTTCAAAGAAGCTCTCAAATGACTCCCTTGTACATGAGTTACTTTATGACTGCCTCTCAAATTTAATGTCTTCATCTTGGAGTTCACTCAAGAGAGGTTACACACATTGCACAAATTTACTCTGTAATACATTCACAAATGTGGGGACACTGAAATGTCAGCACAATTAATGAAGTAACTAACTAACTTCATGTAGCCGAGCCCTTCTTGAGAAGCCACCATTTGTGCAGCTACACAAGAACTTCACAGCATTTTATGGAATCCAAAGGTTCATTACTGTATCCACAAGAGCCCTCCTCTGGTCCCTATCCTGAGCCAGATCAATCCAGTCAATACCACCCCATCCCATCTCTCTTAAGATCCATTTTAATATTACCTGCCCACCTATGTCTTCGTCTACCTTTCCTTCTGACTTTCCCACAAATATCCTACATGCATTACTTCTCCTCCCCATTCACGCTACATGCCCTGTCCATCTCATCCTCCTTGACTTGATCATTCTAAGTATACTTGGTGAAGAGTACAAGTTATGAAGCTCCTTATTATGCAGTTTTCTCCAACCTCCTGTCACTTCATCTCTCTATGGTCCAAATATTCTCCTCAGCATCCTGTTCTCAAACACCCTCAGTCTATTTTTTTCCCTTAATGTTAGAGGCCAAGTTTCACACATATACAGAATCACAGGCAAAATTATATATTATATATGTGTACATTATATATATATTATTAATATATAATAAAATTATATACTATATTCTAATGTTTATGTTTCTAAACAGCATACGAGAAGATAAAAACTTCTGGACTGAATTGTAGCAAGCATTACCAGAATTCAGTCTCCTCTTAATTTCCTCCTGAATCAAGTTTTGATATTGTTACACAGGTATGAATACTACTACAAGAAATTACAGCATCACAATTAGCCGAGCACAATCAATATACACAACTGACTCCATAACCTGAACTACGTCTTAATTTACTGAAACAAGTACCTAAGCCTTTACTATAAGGAGAGAGACTGAAACCAAAAGTGTAACATAAATTCAATGAAATGCATACAATTCTGTCACAGGTTCAAAATTGCAAATATTATATTAACGTTTTAGCTTACCAAGTTCTGCTGAAGGCTCTGTAGGGACTGGAGGTTCTTTCTTCTTCTTTTTCTTTCTCTCAACATGACCATGACAATTTTCACAATCCTCATCTTCTGAAGAAGACGAACTCTCATCAAATGCACGTTGTTTTTCATACTGACAGCAGCCTTAACAAGTAAGCAACAGATCTTAGAAAGACAGTACTCTCAAAATTATTATACAGGCACTCATTTTCAGAGTCTACACATAACATGCAAGGCATGACAGAAGACATGTTCAGAGGATGTGTGGAATGTTAAAAGAGACACCAAAGATTAACACCACTACATTCAGCTATGTAATACACACTCAGTGTAAGAAAACCCCTAAACCACTACTGTCTTAACCCCTCTTAAGTTGTGAGTTAAAATTCAATCAGGCCGCGCCATAGCTCAAGCGGTTAATCACTGGCTTCCCACCACGGCGGCCCAGGTTCGATTCCAGGTCTGGACAAGTGGGATTTGTAGTGGACAAAGTGGCTCTGGGGGGGGGTTTCTCTGAGTACTTCGTTTTTCCCCTGCCAATCTTCATTCAACAAAATTCTCCATCATCATAATCACCCAGAGCAGGCTCCAATAGATCAATCAGTGGGAGCCGTGCCTAGTGGACCCAGTTGGACTCCACTCCCCACTAAGCGAATTAAAAAGAAACTACCCAAAGGTAACAGATTACATTAGAAGGTATTCCATAGATGCACTAATTTTAGTCAAGTATAGTTTGTTTCAAATTTGTTATTCTTAATTCTGTAAGAAGACTTTACATCCTTCAGAGAGAAAGACAGCATTGCTTATGGTACATAGGCACAAAGCAAACACGTGTGGGCAAAGGCAACTGGAATCTGCTTAACACTGAAGACATATCACTGCAGCTATGCCTGAAAGCTGCTCATCATACTACTACTCCTGTTGCTGCTGCTACTCATTAACAAATATAAAAATATATAACACTCACATTTTGATTTCTTCTTATTCATGTGTTCATTGTCAACTGTTCCCGACTGCCATTGCACTTTCTTCTTAGATTCTGGCTTCCTAAGCTTTAATCTTACGGTATGAACATCCTGAAATGTAACCGTGAACTAAGTGTCTCATAACTATGCAAAAAATTCTACTGCTACATTAACAGAAAGGTAGCAAGCAGAGGGCTCTGTATGCCACCTGCTTAACACTGGTTTATTGTTTGCCTTGGTCTCAACCATAGGGAGCACGCAGTAGCGTAGTGGTTGAGGGGCTATGCTACAAGCTGGAAGGTCGCAGGTTCAAGTCCCGATGAGGTCATTGGATTTTTTTCAGTTGACCTAATCCTTCCAGCTGCACTAGGCCCTGGGGTTTACTCAGCCTCTAACAGAAATGAGTACCAGGTGCGTAAGGCTGACAACCTTACCGCCATCTTTGAGCCGATTGCCTAGATAATGTGGGACCCTCAACATCTCACAATCCTATGGGTCTTCATGGCCTGGTACAGGGATAGCTTTACTTTTTTTTTTTACCTTTTACTTGTTCTCAACCCTGAAAATGGAGGTGACCTGTTCCTCTGAAACACTGGATGGCTTTCAACATGGCATCGTGTTATATCCCACAAGACAGAACTCTTCACCGCCATTTTAATTTTCAATAACAGTCTTTTTAACAGAGAACAGTAAAGTGGAACAAAAGTCACATCACCTCCCCCAAATACATTTATAACATAAAAATTTGCGACTGTAATTTCAAAAGCCACAGGTTTGTTAAAATGAGGCTGCCAGTATGGTGCCATTAGCACACAAGCTTGCTACTGTACCAAAATCAGGCAGATGACTCTATGGGTTTACATTAAATAGTCTGAGTCATTGACAGTCATTACATAAGCTACAAATAAATGTATACCATAAACAGATACCACAGTAAAGGGTCCTGCATTACCATAACCAACCTCAGTCCTGGCTGATCTGAGTGCTACGTGTATAATTTAAGTTTATCATGTGCAGTTAGATTCTTCTGATGAAGTTGGTAAAGTTGTCCCTGTGCTTAATTAATTATGCACTATAATATAAAGACATATGGGGGAGTGGAGGCATAACTCCACCATTCTTGACCTTTGTACTTGATGGAGATGAGTGGTCAGCTTCATGTTGCATCTGGAGCATGTAGTTGGTGCCACAGAATACTGAGTTGTATAGATCGTATTCTTTATTATAATACATAAAATCTCAGACATATAGTAATGAGGTAACTGTTAAAATCTTCAATTCACCAAACATACTGTCACGTGTTGGGTATGTCACGCGACAAATAACTTCACGTTAAGTGAAGGATGTAGCGAATATTTATTGTGCTTCACTTTTACACTCACACACTTCACAATTATTATCACTTGCAGTATCACAATTACTTCCCCTGATGTAGTCCTTTCCATCAACTCGATGCAACTTAACTCGTAGCTGCTGGACTTCACTGGACTCATTTCTTCGAAGGCGAACTGGCTTCAGCAGCTTCACCATCCACACTGTCTGGGCACCATGCACACACTGTCTCACACCTACACATACTCTGGCTCACACACCGCTCAGCCGGACTTCTATACCGTTCCCTGTTGCCTCGTGTTAACAGTGGTGTCCCCTGTTACGTCACGGTGGGGGGGGGTGTTTACTGGCCTGTTACCATAGCAGCGGCAGTGGCTCCAATGCTGTGGATTCCATACTTCCGAAGTCAGTCGAGGAGAGATCGTAGATTATATTTGTGTTCCTTGAGAGACCGAGATATGTGCCACCGCTGATGTCCGCTGTGGTAGTTTTTCTTATTGGCGGTAGCAGCAGGGCTGCATATAACTTTGCGTCCAGGCTCCGTAGTGGCGATGATACCAGCAGATGGTGGATGTAGTGTTATCTCGGGAAGGGGATCTGCTGCCCATGCAGCGGTTCCTGAGCCTGGGGCAGGGATCCCTATAGTTGGAGAGGTGGGTCAGCTCAGTGCTGAGTGCTGCCACCTGGCGAGAGGGGTCCTCGATCCGCTGTAAGGTAGGCTGCACACTGGCATGCGTCAAGACATGTAACAGTCAAGACACAATGTCTGTGACATGATGGAAAGAAAGGAGCATAGTTGAAATGAATGAGATTATGAAAACTGCAGCACACTGGTCTGAGTCATGATGCTGATGAATCATGAACGAAGCAAGACTGTGTCTCTTGTCTCATGTCTTGATGCAGTTGGTGTGTGGCCGCCATTAAGTGCAGTGCTATTGGGGAGGGGCGTGACGTTCGTGAGCGCTGGCTGGGGTGCGGCCTCGATGATGCGGTCTGTACAGCGGTCAGTTGCCCTTGGGCTGGCCGGTGAGAATGGCCCTTACATAGGGGGCTAGCAGGCTGGACCAGATGCTGCGGAGGAAGTCATCTGGCACGCCTGAGACGAGGATCCTGAGTTGTCTTAGAAACTGGGACGGTTTGCGGCCTTCCATCTTGAGTGTAAGGAACTGACAGACGCGTTGCTCTCTTGAGGGGGACAGAAGAGTCACCAGTTCGGTCTTCAGCGTCATGCATGGGTTGCGTTTCGGCGGACAGGTGATGATGTCCTCTACTTCTGAGGCATAACGTTGGTCCAACTGCGAGATCACGTAGCAGAACTTGGTCTGCTCGCTACTGATGCAGACCAAAGTGAACTGTGCTTCGGCTTGAGCAAGCCAAACCGCTGGTCTCTTGGCCCAGAATGGCGGAAGCCTCATGGCAATTCTTGATATCTCTGTTGGTACTGGGTTGTTTGTAATAGCGGCGTCAGGTTGGTTTGTCTCCTTTTGGTCTTGCTGTTCGCATCCGGTACGTGGTTCACGTTGTAAATTCTGCATCTGCGTTACGCACTGTTGCAGGAGGTCTCCTATTCGTGTTGTACTGTCAGGGTCACCAATGTGGAATGTCATTATATGAAGAGACAGCCACTTGTTGAACTGTTCTATAATATTTATGATAGTTGCACAGTATATACAGATCACTTCAGTTTGAAGAATTGAAGACTAATAATATAATAACAATAGTGAACTCTGTAACTGTTCTATAAATATTTATTATAGTTGCACAGTATACACAGATGAACTTGAAGAATTGAAGACTAACAGTATAGTATCAACAATATTACTGTTTGCAACACCCACACATCTCTCAAAGCCAAAGTCAAAGTCACCTTGCAACTGACAGCCAGTCAGTCAGTAAGTCTTGGTTTCTAGCCCCATCTGGGGCTCATGACCAGATATTTATTACTGTTTGACAGTTACGGTCTTGTTTTTGTGGGGCGCCCTCTCTGACGAGAGGACGGGTCTGTATTTTGTATATGCTACTGGCCCTTGCCAGCGCAGTCTCTCTCCTGGGTCACATTTTACTGTCTCAGAACTGAGACTTCCCTTTCGTCACCTCTTACGATTTGCAGGTTCACAGTGGAGGTATTTGAGCCCGCCTCCACACGGGGTTGTCATATCTCTCTCAAAGTCAAAGTCAAAGTCACATTGCAACTGATGGTCGGTCAGTCAGTAAGTCTTGGTGTCGAGCCCCAACTACCGTTTGACAGTTACGGTCTTGTTCCTCTGGGGGCCTTCTCTAACGAGAATACGGGTCTGTCTTTTGTATATGCTGCTGGCCCTTGCCAGCGCAGTCTTACTTGGGTCCAAGTCCCTTGGGACTCGCGACCATATTTTACTGTCTCAGAATTGAGACTTCCCACACCTCTCTCTTGTAATAAAATCCTCTTATATAACATTGGGTCTGATGGTATTCTGCAGGACTTTGATCTAATTCACTCTATGTTCGCCACGGAATGAAATTTTTACCACAGGTCCGAAGCAGAAAAGGGCTAACGATCCTAAGTCAATACATTTTTGATTTTAAGGAAACTGTACTGTCACCAAAGTAACTAATTCTAGGGAAACTCGACATTTAATGAGCTCAAGTCTGCAATCATTTTAGTGCATCTGAATAAATACTGCAGTATGTAAATCAAGCGTAATTATTTGAAAACATAACGCAGTCCTTGCTTATCTTACCTGGTGGAGAGGACCATTCTCAGTTTCTACTAACGTTCCTGTTGCTTCTGCTGGCGTTGCGGCCCGCGCTTGTTCTGCCATAGCAATAATATATTGGGTCTAAATAAATTCTTGGTTAAAATCTTCTGTTAGCTCTCAATTTTATGCAAATGACATCGCCCATCCTATCCATTTACGCTGCCATTTTGCTATTGCAGCTATTTATACGCCATCTCTAGCACAATCGGGCAACTCAATCTGACTCACCATTCAATGTCTCAATGTTATCGGCTGGCTACGTAGACGCCGTGACGTCACGAAAACATTATTGCTCTGCCATCTATATTCCAGTGCAAATCTATTGATATGTTGGCCAGTGATTGGGGCTAGCTCCTTCTAACGGACCCAACTGAATAGGTGTTTTCCTTCACCTGAGGACGGAAACAGATGCAGTTTCCGAAACGTCGTGTTTGTATTTGTTATCTTAAAAATCAGGACGATGGATAAAGTCCAAAAACCCAACATATCAGTGTGTTATACACCATCGTCAGAATCCTGTAGTAACTACTTGCAAATCTATTGCTAAACTGGCCGCAACCAGTGCCGAGGTCCCGATCGGTTGGGAGATCATGTATTTTTGCAAAATCTTTGAATGTTTTTTTTTTGGTACCACCCACTAGTTTTAGGGCCTTGGCATTGCTGGCACACATGTCACAAACAGTGACAACAATCTTCACTCCAGCAACGTGACAGAAGTCAAGAACCTCATTCATGTATTTCACAGCCTTAGTGCTTGCACAAGTAGCCAGCCAGCCACCAGTTGCTTCCACTTTCTATGTAGACCACGGATCAGGAAGACTCAAGTATGATTTGCGATGGTGCATCTTAACCTTTAAGTGCCGAAGTGCCCCGTTTGTGCCAGTCATGAGTAAGGTCGTCGTGGCCAAAGTACCCAGTTTTGGCCACTCAGGCATTTAAACTCTGCTAGTGGAAGCGCGCACACACGCCACTAGTAGAAGCGCATGCACAGTCCTAAATATTTATTTTTAAATGTAGTAATTACCAGACAGACTTGAGTAAAACCCTAATTGAGGAATTAAAATAATACCTAACTGAACAACAGCAAATAAAAATATACGTATTAGTTATGCCAAAACTTATCCACGATCCAGTAATTTTATTGCAGATTCTGCAGATGGGTATGTTAAAAATATATTTTAAAATTTGATGTACATACCTTTTTTGTTGTTACCTGCTTGATGTATATACAGTTTCAAATAAAACTACAGTATTCAATTTCACTACAAACGCACAGGAAACAGATCGCGCTCTGTATATCAGCCAAGATGCAGCTGTCTGTTCACTCAAATAGAAGGGGCAATAAGCTTTTGCAGCTCTAACGGAAGGTCTTAGCACTGAAGAAGGGACTCCTCTAGCTTTCTCTTGAATAGCCATTCTTTCATTCTTCTGACCTACAGTCAAAGATTCGAAAATCCGAAGGGTGTAAGCAGCGCTAGCAGAAGACCAAAAGATTTTATTGCTTCCATCTGTTTTATGACACCAGGGACTGCTAAAATTTGTCAAGTGTTACAAACAGAAATGAATTTATAATGCAGAACAACTCTGTGAAGAACTGGGAAACCATTTTTGCAGTACGCATCAAAATTAAAACACAAAAAATTGAAAATAGATTATAACACTTTGTATTAAAAATTTCAAATCTCGTTATAATATGCGACACTATGTTCTTTTCGGATATATACACATTTAATTCCATCCATTTATCATAAAAATTGAGCTAGATACAGCATTTTTAAACACAACGCTTAAAATTGATTAATCGCCTAACAGGAACGGACATTTAAACGCAAGGGAGCAACGGGCATTTAAACGAGCACCAGCAGCGGGCATTTAAATAAACTCCGGCCAGCTCAAGTTTACCACTATTTCGAAGTCCGGCGTTTAAAGGTTAATTCTGTCTACTGGATGAATACCACCCAGACCAAATCATACTTTTCTTCCCTCCATTTTATACTGCAAGAACCAACAACAAAATTATAACACCTTCATGATACAGTTAAAGAGTTTCTTGACTTTCTACAGACCTTCTTCAGGCTAAAATGAAAGGTACATAACATAATACAGATATAATTAGAATGCAATGTCATCATAACCACAACAATTTTTGGTTTCATATACTTGTACATTTCTAATTTCATTCGGTGTAGTAGGCATGGCATTCATATACACAAATAACATGTCTAACATAGAGTTGTAACTACATGCATCCACATCAGCTCCCGTTTTACAACATCAGATCAAAATCCATACTTACCAACCAGCAGAGAGAGAATAAGCAATAAATTATACATTGTCAATCACTATTGCACAACCGATCACAACCAACCATAACTGCTGCCAAAGGAACATAAAATGAAATTGCTTTGCTAAGGGCTCTGTAATTGGTTCAGACAAATATGATATTGTCATATGTATTAGTCACTATACAAGGGATTCAGATTGGGAATTGGATTTATTGACCAATTACAGGTCATAACTACAAGTAATTATAACATTGTTACTGATTCTCACATGACCAGATATTTATTATGTTTGACAGTGTCATTGTCTGCAGTAGTAAGTCATTTTTCATAATGTAAAGGATATTTATATTTTACATGTTGAACATGTTAATAAATGTATATAAAATATATACAGGGCTTCTATCAGTCCAGGCTCAATACAATAGATTATGCACTATTTCTAGTAGCTTCCACTACAACGGCAGTCTAGTCCTTTGAACGGTCATATGCTTGACCACCGCAAAATTTAAGCCTCTTATACTTTCTACGCCGGGCTTCTGCTTGTCCAGTAATGTGAACATTTTCGTTATCATGATTTTGTATGACTTCTGCTTGTTGCCTGCATAATTTTGTTATATAACCATATATGTATGGAATTTTGAAAGCTATGTGTAAATCACGAACCTCTGTGTGCCTTGGAAAATTGCCAATGGTGCGGAGAACTTTGTTTTATAGGCACTGCAATTTCGCTAGATGGGTATCTGCCGTGAATTCCAAGGCGGAACTAGCATAAGTCATTACGGATCTAATGAGAGCTTTGTGGAGGGCCAGCTTAATGTCAGCACTTACTCACTCACTTCTGAATACGGAATACAATCTTATAAATGTTCTGAAGGCCTTGACTTCGATCATTTTTACGTGCAATCTCCATGTAACCCTCCTATCCAAGATTACACCAAGATATTTTACACTATTTACAAATGGAATATATCTTCCATTCAATGTAAGATGAGACACAGGCGGATGACTGCGAGATGTTCCTTCAAACTGGTCTCCTTATACATACACAGCTAAGAAACACGTCACAGAAAACACATCATGTGATTTCTACCCTCTGTTGGGTTATGTCACTACGCATGTACAAGCTGTGTGGACAGAAAGAGAACACTGCTCCAGTATTGTTGGCCATGGCTATGTTGTAGGCGTTACCTAGCAATGGATTTACATGTCACAATATGGTAGTTGTATTGTGCTACGTAGCAAGGTTCACTCACACCAATAGCTATTCAGACAATTTTATTGTCATCTGTATCTGTTACTCAATTAATTTGATAACTGGCCTCCGTGGCTGAATTAATGTATTATACCACCATATCACCACCAAGTTCCAGTATTGTGGTGAATAAATTTGTTTTTCAAGAAATGCCCATACATGCAGAATGAAGGAAATTCAGTTTGCATTCTCTAATTTAACCTTCCATCCCCAAGCCCTCAATATGTCATAATTAATATCTTCCAACTGTCACAGGTTCTTAATTTATGAACATAATAAAAGCACAGTACCACATACTTGATTATCATCTGTGTGTGCATTTGAGCTGTATGCCTCTATGTCCAGCCATTAAAAAGGAAAAGATGTTGTAGGTCATGGATGAGCAACTGGTCTTTTGCTTCAGTGTCCTGCCTGTTCCTAGAGTACTAATACTGTACTGATGTATGTGGAGTGCAGTACACTTTGTGAAAACCTAACCTGTCATGCGACTTCCTGACGATGAAGCTGTAGCAAGAGAAGTCACCACCTGGGTCTGACAGCAGCACAAAGAATTTTATGCTGCTGGTTTTCAGGGGCTTGTGAAAAGATGGGACAAGTGCCTCAATGTACAGGGAGATTATGTTGAGAAATAAAAGCATTTTTCAAATCAGTACTCTTATTCGTTTAAGTTCTATATCCATTTGTAACTTACTTATTGACTTACCTACGTACATGTACATTGGGGGAGGGACAGCCAAGCTAGGAGCCTTACCCCAAATCAACAACAGTAAGGCGAATAAGAAACAAACAAATGCCTTTCAAAGAGTCCCTTTCTTGCCAGAGTAGAGCTATAGTCCTTTAGGCCATGATTTTCTTACTGTCTCCTGACCTCCACTTACCACCCATTAGTCACTTAGTCATTTTTCTCTCATCTCTCTACTTTGGCAGAAAACAACTCACTCAAGAGAGGCCCTTTCCTGTTCTCAGTACTCTGATTAGTTTTACGAGGGCGCCTAACTCAGCTGTTGTCCTCCTTATATCTGTACCACAGGTTTCTACCCTGAAGACAGTATGCTACTTTGAAATGTCAATACACTTACCAGACTACATAGCATTATATCTCAAAATTTTCATAACCACTGCTGTGAGATCCTCAAATCCAACATCATTAATTTTAGTTCGCTTTATGTGCATGCGGGCAGTAGCACGTGGTAGTGTAGTTGGTTGAGGAACTATGCTACAAGCCAGAAGGACATAGGATCGAATCCTGATGAGGTGGATTTTTTCAATTTACCTAATCCTTCCAGCAACCCTATGGCCCTGGGGCTCACTCAGCCTCTAACAGAAATGAGCACCAGGAATATTCTTGGGGGTAAAAGGTGGCAGGCATGCAAGGCTGACCTTACCGCCATCTATGAGCTGACTGTCTAGAAAATGTGAGAACCTCAAGTTCTGAACCCCATGGGCGTCTATGGCCTATTACAGGGATAACTTTACTTTTACTGTCGTTAGGTGCCATGTTTTAGCATATTAAGTGTGGCTGGTAATATTCAATTTTACTATGTACTACTGTGTTAGGCATTGCAGATGTTTGATATATTATTTTCTTTGTTGCTAGTGGGGTGGGACTAAGTCCCTAGTACTGCAGCCACTTCTGGCCTATGGTACCAGCCCCAGACGGAGCAATTGGTGGAATGAAGATTGGCAG